CTTTTGCGTGAAAGTACCTGCGAAAATGAAGCGGAGCATCCATCAATATGAGACGAAAACGATAATGCACAGTTACTATCATATAGGTGTGATGTCTTTTGGAAACAAATTTTATTCAACATACTTTTTACGTAGATGCGCTATTTATAATCTCAACGGTCCTGAGACTGACAGCTGCGACCGTCAGTTGCATAGTAATTGTGCGTTATCGTTTTCGTCACATATTGATGGATGCTCCGCTTCATTTTCATACGTATTTTCGTAAAAAGATTTTTAATTCGACGTAGATAGAAAGAAGTAAACTTTGCAGAAAGATTCGATTTCGTGATAGTACCTGTTCATTATTGTTTTTGTCTCATATTGTAGGATGCTCCACATCACTTTCACACGTACTTTCAACATGCAAATGGGTTTTTAATTTGACGCAGATACAAGGAAGTAAACTTTGCAGAAAGATTCGATTTCGTGATAGTACCTGTTCATTATTGTTTTTGTCTCATATTGTAGGATGCTCCACATCACTTTCACACGTACTTTCAACATGCAAATGGGTTTTTAATTTGACGCAGATACAAGGAAGTAAACTTTGCAGAAAGATTCGATTTCGTGATAGTACCTGTTCATTATTGTTTTTGTCTCATATTGTAGGATGCTCCACATCACTTTCACACGTACTTTCAACATGCAAATGGGTTTTTAATTTGACGCAGATACAAGGAAGTAAACTTTGCAGAAAGATTCGATGTCGTGATAATAATCGTTCCTTATCGTTTTTGTCTCATATTTTTGGATATGCTGCTTCATTTTCGCATGTAATTTTACAATGCAAAATGAATTTTACTTTGGTCCAATAAGCACAAAACAATAGTTTTGCAAAAGTATTCGGTATCACGTGAACAACATTTCCCAACAAATTTTAATTTGTGTTGACTTGACCAAATTAAAAATGCTTTTGCATAGTAAAGATACATGCATAAATGAAATAGGGCATTCCTCTTTCAAGGATAAAAATAATGTGAAATTACTGCTATCATGACACTGATTTCATTTTTCAATAATTATAGTTTACTAACTGGTCCAATTTATATGGTAAAATTACTTGCGAAAATGAAGTGTAACATTGGTTAGTGCGAAATAAAAAAATATCTCAAATTACCGTTGCTAATTATATTGAAGTCTCAAATAATAGGTAACGTATTCTTCAAAATATTATTCGCAAACTACACTTGCGCCTACAACTCTCTTTTCTAAAAACTTTTTCTTTGATGCATCCAGTATACAAGCGGTTTGAATAATTCATCAGAAAGCAGCAAAAGTTTGTTTTGGAGAGAATGCGAATATCGGCAACGTGACATTCACACTTATGTAACGTCTATGTGTAAGAAAATTGAAATGACAACGTAGCACACACACTTATGTTACGTCGGGACGTTACGTCCTGGTAGAGAACGCAACACGACGTAAGGCCTCGATCGTACTAGCAGATCGAGTTACGAGTCAGCGACCAGAAGGATCGCTTTACACGTGTATCGACGTACGACGAGTGGTCCTTTTTCGATCAGAGAACTGAATCTCTTTATCGCGGACGGACCGAGAGCGGATAAGAGAAATGAAGGGGGAAAAGGGAAGGATTCGAAAAGAAATTGTGATATAATTTGAATTAGAATTTAGATAATTCTTGACGATTACATTTATTTTCCTCGCGGGGTTGTTACAATTTTTATTAACTACTAGCACGGAGACAAAGTACGCGCGTGTGTGTGTGTTTGTGTGTGTGTGTGTGTGGACTTCTGGGTGAAGTTGAGCATTAATGTTCAGGATCATTGGGAGGTGAAGAGGGTGGAAAGTAGGTCGTGGGGGAAGATGGAGGAATAGGTGGAGGTGCTGGACGAAGAGGCAGATTTTGAGAAGAAAAAAAAGGAAAACCGCCAAGTGGGGTGGGAAGGGTGGTAGGTTTTTGCTGATCCAGAAGTCTAGGTAGCTACCTGTGCGTAATCCGGGACACTAAATATTGTACGCGAGCTACCCTGAGTTAAAGTTTTGATATTGAGGGGAACAAAACGAGTAACAAAATTATAACTTACTGTTGATGTGCGATTTGGAGGAGAGAGTAACTATTGCTGGATTTCTCAGTTGGGCCCCCTTCGATCCTCGTTTGAATAGAACCTGGTATTTGTGTGTGAGGGTTGCGGACGATCGCACGATGAATACAGCAATAAGCACAGAGAGTTGAGTAGCTGAACTCTTAGGGTACTTGGATTCTTCCTTAGTGGTGTATAAGTGTATAAGTATAAGTGACCCGCGGTGCGCGGAGTCGCGGTTATATACGATATCAACTGGAAATGGTTTGGTAGGGAAGATGTGGAAATTTGGGGGGTCCTAGGTTGTTGGATTCGTCAGAGAAAATGGTATGGGGACTGTTGTATCCAGTAGTAAGTAAGTAGACAGTGTTAAGGAAATCTTCTTGGCTGGGGTTGTGGGTGGAGAAAATCATACATTTCAAAAGAGAAGGTTATTGGAGGATTTTTAAGGTGGTTAGGGAATTAGCAGATGAGGCGGAACCGGATAACATAAGTTAGAAAATGTAACGGACATAATTTTTTGTTGTCCAGCGGTTCCTTTTGATCCCAAGGATAAGGTCCGGCGAAGTTTACTTTGCGGATTAAGGAGTTTTAGTGCTGTATTTCCCAGGGTTATTTCGGAATTTTAGTCGGAATTTTTATTGGGGAAAGACGAAAAACGGTCTTACGATTCGGAATTGTTTGTTGTTTCCCGACAGAGGAGGCAAAGATAGAGTGCATGACTCATGTCTGCACAGGACGTAACACTTACATAACATCTGTGAAAGGATGATAGCAGTATCATGTTAGCGCCTATTTGACGATCGTCTTTATTCTATAAATACATATGTATATATAAATTCGATATCGTCGGTAAATGAAGATAACGTTTTCTATTTTTTGACGATCGGTCTACGTTATCGACGTATATCAAGTTCGTCGCTCACTCCGGCATTCTCTTAAGGCAGATGAACGAGACGTAAGCGTTATAGTCGTAGACATAAAAGCAGAGAAAAACGTAAACGTAAGTCATGAAAGACTATTAGCGACCTATAGTTAAGACCTTACATTTACGTTTTTCTCTATTTTACTTTTCATTAGCGTCTACGATTACGACGCTTACGTCTTATCTTCTATTTTAACATCAGATTTTTTGTTAACTACTAATTCTTCCGTCTAGCTATCAGTACTATTAAATTGTGCATAAAAAATAGGATATTTCAGGTTGACGATTTATTTTATGAAACTCTAAAATTACTAAATTTTATCTCTCAAAATAATCATATTTTTAACGCTAAATATAACATGTACTTTCTTCGATAATTTAAGTCAAATTCTTTAGATTTTTATATATTAAAATATTTGTATCTATATTTTTGTAATTTTATAATTCTTTTTGAAAACCCGAATTTTCTGTAATTACTAAGAGACATTTTTCATTTTTTTCAAAATATTACGAGTCTTAAAAGTTTGATGACACATTCACAATATTTTTAAAACTTGTGATATTTTGAAAATAATGGATAGTGTTTTTCGGTAATTACAGAAAATCAGGTTTTTTTAAAAAATCTTTTAGGAAACAGAGATACAAACATTTCAATATATAAAAATCTAAAGAATTTGACTTGAATTTTCAAAGAAAGTACATTATTACGTTTAATTTTAAGAAGAATGATTATTTTACGAGATAAAATTTAGTAATTTTAGTCTTTTATCAAATTAATTGTCAACCTAAAATATCCTATTTTTTAAGCACAATTTAATAGTACTGATAGCTAGGCGGAAGAATTAGTAGTTAACAAAAAATCTGATGTTATAAACAATATAAACAATATTAACATATTATAAACAATATAAACAAATATTAACAAATTATAAACAAATAAATAAATTATAACCACTCCCAAAGAAAAATAATATATTAATAATTTTCTCGCAAAAAGATTATATAAAAGATCATACATTTTGTTAAGATCATTTATTTATGATGATATCTCCGTTAATAGCAGCCGCAATTTCATCGTTTTTCAACATCGTGAAATGATTACCCTCCACGTAATGAATTTGTGCGCTACCTTTAGTCACCTAAATAAATATTATGTCAAATATTATAATAAATATGCTGTCAAACAGTTTCTGAAAATGTATACCTTCTTGATATGCGTCTGTATATTAAGATTACCTTGCTTAAGTCATAATCATCCTGGCGATAATGCATAGACAAAACTGTGGGTTTTAGCAAGAGTATAGGTGATTTTAGCAGCGGCAATGAAGACGTATCGTACTCATCAAGAGCAAGTAGATGCTTGTAAATTGATGTGGCGTAAATTCTGTAACTTTCAAAATGAATATGGGAAAATTCATCTGGAATACATCCGATAAAAGCATCCAACTTTTGCTCCCACGTGTCATGCTTGGACAATTCCAAACGAATCTGTTAACAATTGTGGTGTATTAATTATTGTGTAAATTATATCACAACCTAAAATATTTTCTTTAAAAACCTACCATTGTACTGTCAATTGAATAAAATAAATCCATAAGACCTAGAAGAACATTATTCTGAAACTCCTGAATAGTGGTGAAAGGAAAGTATTGTTCTTTCATAGTTTTCATCTGTTCAGGTGTGCCATCGATTAAAATTAATCGTCCTGTGAAACTTTTGGCCTCCAACAGTCTTGCCAACTTAATACAAATTACTGATCCATATGAATATCCAATTAATACGAAATTTTTAGAATTCTTCATTCTTGTTAGAACATGCTTGAAAACAAATATACGAAATTCCCTATTTTAAATAGTTTTTTTTAATTTAGATGATACGATTACAAGTCTTCTTCTCAACACAATAGATTATCATGTATGTAATTATATTTCGCCATTATATTGCTACGTACAGGTAATAACGTGACAGCCGACTGCAACACTGATTCGCACGTAGAGATGTTATTTGCACCATGCTGCAAACACGTCGCGGGAGCTTTGATTTTTGGAGCCAACCAATTAAATACGCTTCCACAACCTTCAATTCCAGGTATAAGAAATACTCTTTCTCTGTCCGTCTCATGCTTTGTGGACAGTTCCAAACAAATATCCGGAACAATAGTTAAATTTTCCGGTAGCCAAAGTAGCGATTTTATTCCTTCCATATCGACATTAGGTTCGTTTCGGTTAGATTCCTTTTCCAAAGACTTATCTGTGTCAGCCATTTTGCAAAGCTTTTCGATAGTGAGATTCCGAATGTCCTGTGCAGTAAGATGAACATCGAATTCTCTCTCTAATGTTTGTTTGATCTCGACTGCCATCATCGAATCCATGCCGATTTCCGATAGTGCGGTGCGACGTCCAACCATTCTTATATCTTTCAACCCTGTGTTAGCAAAGACGAAATAATTAAAGACTTTGGTTTCTCGCCACTATTATCATGAATAATAATGTCAAGAGTGAGAAATAACTCACAATATTTTTGTAAAATATATTCAAAGAAAAAGATATGTTCATAAAATAAAACACATGATTGCGTAAATTTGTAAAATACCATCGACATTTTTCTATTATATTAAGGGGTTATAACACCTTTGAGGGTCAAAAAATTCAGATTTTTTTTTTTTGCTTAAATGATACTTTGGAATGTCTAGAATATAATTTTATTCGCCTAAAGTCGATCTGGAACTCTTTCATGTACGAAATAACCATTTTTGTACGCGGCGCCATAGCGCGCGGAGAGAGCCTCGGAGCGCTCTCCGAGTATTCTACCTTTCTACTTCAACTCTCGAGTAGTTGAAGGTTCCTGATAGTTTAGTATAGTACTGTAGATGTCGTTTGTGACCATTTCAACAGAAAACAGTATATTCCTGTCATATAATACTTTATTTCATGCCGGAATTGTGTGTTTACTCCGAACAGTGTCCGTTGTACCACCGGCTTCGGCTTTTCAAATTGAATTGAAACGTCGTAACATTGTTGTAATAATGTCGAACAAAAGAATATATGCAAATAAAAAAGGGAGTAGAGCAAGTACTGCACGTGCAATTCGAAGTTCAATAAATAGAAGGAAGCCTTTAAATAGGTATTCTTTAGAAGGCGAAACTGAAAGTGTAAGCACGTCGGCGAAAAAACTTAAAACGAGTGCGGACGATTACGAGATACACGTGAACAATACTTTTGGGTATCGTTTCATTAATTTTGTTACCGTTTTTACAAGCATTTCGCAATTAATTGTTTGCAAAACATGTGGCTCGAACATCAAGTTTGAAGAATCCAGTTGTCGCGGTCTAGGTTTCAAAATTGCTGTTATTTGTGAAAAGTGCCTGCCAAAATATATTAATTCTAGCCCACTTATAAACAATCATGCTTACGACATAAATCGCCGTTTGGTATTTACAATGAGATTACTCGGTATAGGAATCAATGGAATTAAAAAATTTTGTGCATTTATGTGTTTGCCGATACCAGTGTATCAGTCTTTTTATGATAAAATAATTTCAAACATTCGTGTTGCCACTAATGCTGTATGTGAAACATCAACAAAACGAGCAGCTGCAAAAGAAAAGAAGATGTCATTGGAAAGAGGACAGATAGACGGGATAACAGTTTCTGGTGACGGGACCTGGAGGAAGAGGGGATTCTCGTCTTTGTTCGGTGTCGTATCACTAATAGGGTGGTGCACGGGAAAAATCATCGACATTGCAGTGAAATCTAAATTTTGTAAGGCCTGCAGTTTGTGGAACGGAAAGCAAGAAACAAGCGAATATGAAGAATGGGCTGCAAATCACGAAGCAAACTGCGAAAGAAATCACGAAGGTTCGTCGGGAAAGATGGAAGTAGACGCAGTCGTAGAAATGTTTCAGCGGTCCGAAGAATTGCACAATTTAAAATATTCTCATTATATCGGAGACGGGGACAGCAAAACATTCAAAGGCATTTTAGATTCGAAACCTTATGATGATTTGAATGTTTGTAAAAAAGAATGTATAGATCACATTCAAAAACGTATGGGCACGAGATTACGAAATTTGAAAAAAAATGTAAGAGGTCTTGGCGGCAGAGGCAAATTAACAGGCAAACTGATCGACGAGTTGACAATATACTATGGTCTAGCTATTCGCAGAAATCCTAATTCCATAGAAGATATGAGACAAGAAATATGGGCGACTTTATTTCACAAGATTTCCACGGACAGCGAACCGCAGCACGACCGTTGCCCAGTCGGAGAAAACTCTTGGTGCTCTTGGCAGCAGGCGAAAGCGCACAATGAATTACATGAGTACCAACACAAACCAGCTTTGAATAGTGAAGTTTTTAAAGCTATTCAGCCAATTTACGAAGAACTGAGTCGAGACGAATTGCTGTCCCGCTGTGTTGGCGGGTTTACCCAAAACAGCAACGAGAGCTTTAATTCTGTGCTGTGGGCAATAGCACCAAAAACTGTTCATAGCAGCAAAGCAATCGTTGATATTGCCGCAAATATTGCTGTTTGCAATTTTAACGATGGTTTGCACAGCATAATGGAAATTATGCAAGTATTAGATTTAATAATTGGATCTACTTGCTACAATTTCTGCGTTGAAACAGACGAACGCCGGATCCGCGCAGCTGAACGCGCCATGACTAAGGAAGCTCAAGAAGCTCGTAGGCAGCAGACATCAGCTCGGAAGGCCGCAGATGACGAGTATATGAATGTAGAAGGTCAACTGTATGGTGCAGGCATTGCAGATTAACGGTGAGCTCCTAATAATTACATGTTTTCTCGTTGCAAAACTTTAAACGCAATTTCTGTAAAACACCATTTTTCAAATTGGTGTGCAGCGTAGCTCCTACAATTTACATCGGATTGACTTCAAACAAAGTTTATTCTATGCCAAATTAAATGTTTTATAGAAGTACGTAGCCGTTTTTTAATAGGATTGTTAGTTTTTGGGGGGGAACCAGTTTTATAACGATTTTTCAGTGAATATTTGTATACTTTTCTTCAAATTGGTGTAAATTCCACAAAAATTAATATTTTTGAAAAATCCTACGTACTTCCAAGGCAAATTTATCAGAGAATATGAGGTGTTTTGAATTTTTGTTCTATGTCATACCAGTCAGCCGGAATCCTGCACACCGATTAGACCGGCATAGCGCAAAGGGTCATCTTTGGCGCCATCTACAGGACGCTCTTTAAAGTATTTTCTAATAAAAAAAATATATTTTATAACTAGAAACTATAATAAAATCAACCCTCAAACCCGTTTTTTGATTACTCTATTCCTTAGATGTGAAAAAAATTAATGAAAAAGAGGAAAAATTTCTTACGCAAAGGTGTTATACCCCCTTAAGAAGCCAGAGATTATCTATGAAATACTAAACTGCAAAATTAATGACAAATGCAGCCTATCTATTTACCATGTAAAATTGTTATTTTAATTGTATATCCATTTTCTGATTACTGACGCAAAATGAGCGTTTTTAGCTTATCTTTAAAATTTGTTCAATTGATCATAGATAACATGTTACGGATATATTTTTTATTACAACGCATTTTGCGAAAGTTCACAACGTGTATTTTCTCGATTCTGATGTCATCTATCAAGATAAACATGTCGATAGTAAATAAGTTTTAAGTAAATGCTACAGCGACTAAGGAACATAAATAGGAAATATAAAAGTCGTCACACTCAACAAATATGTTTTATGCATAACGAAACGATTACCCATAATATTGGCAACGGTTTCCAAAATGTTCATCGTTCCGCTTAGACCCGTCCCCTTCTCTGCCACGACCATACTACCTACGATAGGTCGACTTTGCACCAAGAAAGCATCCAGCGACTGCAGGCAGGACAATATTCTCTGCTGTAACGTACCGCCAATAACTAATTCCTTATTGTCCTCTACCATGTCAGCAACGAGACCGACATCACCCACCGCGCCCCATTGAATAGCCATCCCAGGGAATCCGTCCTGTACTCTCTTCTCGCAAATTCTTTTCATGATAGAATTGGCCATACCGTAATTAGTTTGTCCGGCATTTCCGCGGCCACATGAGACAGACGAGAAAACAATGAAATGTCTAAGATCGGTACACATCTTTCTGGATAGCTCATCAAGCATCGACCACGACCGACAGGCGGAAAAACTTCCGGCCTGCCGGGAATGGAGATTATCTCCATCGGAGAAAAGTCGAGTAATAAGTATTTATGGGCGGAACCATAAATGCGGACCCCACAACTAGCACATCTATACTATAAAAGCACCACACACATAATTAAATATATATATATATTCTCACATTAACACAAACAATATAAAATAAAAATAACATTACCACGGGGCAAGTAATAACACATTCGTGACACAACGACATATTATCTCTTTTCTTTAACGAGTCCGTACAAGGTAACGGATGGAAAGAAACTAAAAATATACGCATTCAAAAGAAAACATTTCTGCTACGTAAAGCAAAGCATCAGATTGCTAAAAGCAACACCCACGATCTAATTACAGAACGCTCATCCTGATAAAGAGCATCGGGTTCATGGCGAATGATACACAAGAAAAAGCGCCGTACGAAATCCAAAAGTTTACACATACACCGGGCATATATTTCGACAAACAAGGTCAGTTATACCAAATCACGTCTACCTGGAAAATAGTTATAAAAGTAAATTTAAAAACATTAGACTTGCGACGAGACCAGTTAGAGGAATACCTCGAAAATACGAAAAAAATTTGTGATGTACAAGGATTCACATCAAATACTGGAAAGACCTGTAATAATTTGTACGATATAGTAAAAACACGACTGAATCGAACACGACTAATACTGAACCGAATTTACGAAATACACTCAATAATACCAAATCGCCGACGCGGCTTAATAGACGGAATAGGTATGATAGCCAAATCTCTTTTCGGTACAATGGACGCAAACGATGAAAAAATCATAAACGAACAACTTCAACTATTAGAAAACAAACAAGAAACATTAAAGCATGTAACAACAAATCAATTAAAAATACTAAATGCAACAATAGGACATTTAGAAGAATTAGAGAAAACCATACAAAAGAATGAAAAAACAATATGGGACCGATTGACACAAGTAAGCGACTTACAAACACGACTTGTTTCACAACAATATTTAGACGAACACTTTACATTACTTGACGCAGCTTTGAATAACTTGGTACAAGACCAAAACGATATTATAACATATTTGAATAATATTAAACAGGGATACTTACCTATACAAATAACACCTATTGATAATATCATTTCACAAATAAAAGAAGCGGCAATTCGAGTACCGCAGAACTCACATTTTCCGTTTAGAATCTCAACGAAAAACTGGCTAGAAATTGAAAAATTTATAACATTAAGTGCATATTATCAAAAAGGAAATATTTTTACAATATTAAATATACCATTAATAACATATCCTACTTACGATATAATAAACGTTCTTCCATTACCAGTACACACGAAAAACGACACATTTGCATGGACCGAAATCACTTATAACAAAATTGCGATTAATAAGGAAACGAATTCATACTTAATTATAAGAGATAACGACTTACAAAATTGTAAGAAAATAAGCGATCATTATATTTGTGGACAGGGGAATCCGATATATAAAATTCAAGCGGACTCACCATGCGAGGTCCATCTATACGTAACTTTAGAAAAAACGGTGAAATGTAATACAAAATATATTCTTGCTAACCACACAGTAGTGATCGCATTGAAGGAAAAAAATGCATGGTTATATTCTACCCGGAATGAACAAAATATATATATCCAATGTAAAGAGAAAAATTATAACACCAAAATTAAAAATACGGGAATAATAAAATTTAAGGAACAATGCAAATTAATATTAAACGAAATAATAATACAATCACAGGGAATAATAGAAGATAAAACAATAGAAACATACATACCGGAATATAACATAACCATCGCAAAAGAACAAATAGAAACTAGAAATAATATCATACCGCGATTAAAAATTAAAAAAATTATTCAAAATCCAACAGAATTAACGGATTTAAGTAAAGAATTGACACAAACGCAAAAAGAATTAGAAAATTCTGATACATTTAGAAATTATAAACAATTAGTTTATACTACCGCACCTAGTGGCATAGTAATTATAATTATAATAATAATAGTAATATTTTTATTAAGAAAAATAAAGAACTTAAGACACTTCGATGTACGACAGATTCTCGAACAAAAAACAAAAATATCTCAACAAAGATCGTCATTATCCACTATAGAAAGCGAAATGAGTGAAATCTCGCCCAGATTATCATCACACTGTAAACCATCGATACCTACCATACCCTCACTAATACGTAGACATAGTATAGAACAATTATAAAATTAAGAAAACGATTATAATAAAAAATTGTACACGGGAAAACTAAATGTATTTAGGATAAGAATTTAGTGAAAACGAGGCGTTTTCTTTTATCAAGGGGGGAGGGATGTTATGTAGGACAAAACATGTTGAAACGCTAAAAGACGTTTCAGCCGAAATGCATGTATTGCATAAACGAACATTGCGAAATACGGCAAATAAATCAAAAGTGCACGCGCTGCAGAAACATCACGTTACACTTTTGAATTGTTAGGTAATTAGGTCGGTAACCTAATTCCCTAATTTCATGAATAATATATAAAGAGTTGGACCAACCACT